ATATAAAACATCTACAGGGTTTTGTATAAATTATTATGCCACCCCAGGGCACACTACCAGTCGCGTCGAGTTGAATTGAGTCGGGGGCCGGCCAGGTTTACTCTACGGAGGAGTGTTGGCGACTTTGGCACAATTTGATCGAATCAAATCCTCAAAAATCAAGCTTGCTTGTATGTTTTAGGATTTAATCAAATTGTGCCAAAGTAGCGGCTCCCCTTGATGGAAAATCCTGACCAGATTCGACTGTACCAAATGTATCAAATGGTCAAATGGGCGATGTGCACTGAGTTTAAGCTGCTACTGGTATACATAGAGAGACATTTTGCTTATTATGCAAAGCGCCTAGACCTGTGTGCCCACGGGAGTCTGCTATATCAAAATGATCCACATTATCATTTTTATTATCATTGTGGTCGTCGTCGTCGTCTTATTATTATTGTTATTATTATTATTATTATTATTATTATTATTATTATTATTATTGTTGTTATTGTTATTGTTGTTGTTGTTGTTATTATTGTATTTATCTATGGCCCAGACTAAATGTATCAAACGGAGATACCTGTTGTTATAGTAGCCTTCCTCACACCGGAACGAAACTGGCACATCAAAGCATGATCTTTGGTGTGCAACAGCAAAGACCCTTCATCATTAATTACACAACAGGCGCCGGTCAGATCAGCTTGGCTCCGAAATTTGTGTTGTTGCTATTTTTTTTTTTTTAGAGAGAGAAGAGAGGAGGTCATTGTAATGTGCAGTCAAGGATTGTATGATTAAAGTCCAGGATAGGATATAGCCTGAACTGACAGACGCATTTTAATAAAGGGCATGGCGAGTGGTTGGGGAGAGTTGAGCTTAGTGGTGGCGACTTGTTCATTCAGGGAGCAGCCTATCAGTCAGCAGGTGAGAAGAATAGCGTTGTGTATCTTCCCGATTTGTCCAGTGAAGGGGCTGACCGAGAAGGTTTTGGGCTTTGCTTATCTCTCTGGAGTGGTCAAGTTGGCGGCTCGGTCTTGTTTGACCCCAGAAGGCGGACGGATCGTGGGAGCCGTGCTCGTGGGTCTGCTGTTTGTGTTCTAGGCACGGGTCTCGGAACAATACTATATTGTATATTATAATATAATGTAACCCTCTTTGGTTATAGGGAAGAGATTGTTTGGCTTCGGGCTGTGTTTGAATCCTCGCGTATCCTCGCTTTAGTACTTTTTCATGCCCCCAGTGGTTGAAAATACACCATGTATATAAAAAAGGGGGGATGGGGGAGCGAGTAGCAGCCAG